CTTATTATCAATTAAGTCGTTACTACAAGCAAACTCATGATGACCATTTTACCCTTATTATCACCGATTTTAATAGTACTGATGTTGACATTCCAGCGTTATTGAAGTCAAGCTCGCTAAAACACCATTACATGAACATTAAAACTGAAAACTTTCAATTTTCTAGAACTATAGGAATTAACCGCGCAGCTACATGGATTCGTAACGATGATGCTATCCTATTAATGTATGATTTACATCTTACGTTTCCAGTCGATATGTTAGATAATGTTAGGAAACGATGTAAGCAAGGAAAAGCAGCATATTTTCCGATTGTAACAAGATTAGGTTGTGGCTTTGCACCAAGATATCCGAATGGCTATCCTGAATTGTGGGGATTCGGTATATCTGCATTTTATAAATCGGATTACGTTAATGTCGGTGGCATGAATGACCAAAAGTTTCGATTTAAATGGGGTGGTGAAGATTCTGATATAGCAGATCGTACGATATCTAATTCATTAGAAATTGAAAGACTTCTCCATCCATATTTCTTTCATTATTATCATCGTCAACTGCCTTGGAAGAAATCTACAGCAAAAAAAGAAAAAGAAAACAAAGATATTAATGAGCCTAAAATAATAAAAGAAATTCAAGCATGATACCATGCAATTTACACGTATTTATGCTAATGTAGATTATTCATACTACTATAAAATCGAACCAGTAATAATGTAAATATATCAGATCCTATATCCGTTCTTAAATAATCTGTATACTGTACTGTATACTCGTATGTAATCCAGTACTATAAGTTTAGTATCTATAACTAGATATATACGTAATTCTGTATAAAGAGTAATAAACTAGTCTTTTACGATGTAAGAATTCTGTTCTACTCGCCGTACTCTATCGTTGTAATGTTTCCATTACAATTCTTTCCTTGCTAAGTAACTCAGTAATTTATCTACACAAGCTTCCATGGTAGAGAACGATGGTAATGATGATATAAAGTAGGATGGCAAACTCGTTCTACATCTAAATTATGAGTAAAAATAGAATTAACCATCTGAACATCTTCGCCTCCCCATTGCTCTCGATAATTAACACTATCGTAACCACCAGTACGTTTGAAATCATATTTATACATGGCTAATATACCATAGCCAAAAATTTCTCGGAATCCGTTAGGATGACTTGGTGTCGCATAACAATTTAATCGTAGTATGATAGGTGTATAAGCGGTTTTACCCTTAAAACATCTCTTTCTAGCATTATCAAGTATGTCCATAGGAAAGTTAAAATGTAAATCGAATATTAATATAATACTGTTGGGATCATCGATTGCCTCGATTGCGGTATTTAACCCAATCGTTTTAATAAATTTAGGATATTTCTTACCGAGTTGAATTATTTTAAACTTCTTTAATGGACTACGATCGAGTTCATCGCGAATGTTAATATCTGTACTACCGAAATCGACTATAATAATACTGAAATACTCATCATGACTCTGAATATAATATCGACTAACTTGATTGAGAAAGTACTTAATCCATTGGCCTTGCTGTTGAACAATAATAACGACATAAACATGAATACGTTGATGCCATTCCATGTCTATTAATTTACATAATTGAGAATTTTGATTAGACAAATAGAGGTAATCAGATACACGCCATAACAGGTGAGAATCATAACGTTTCAGTAATAACTCAATATAATAACGTTTTCCTTGACCATCATTTATTTTCTCTTCTACCTCAATAATTTTAATTAATTTATAAGTGCGATTCGATGCTCTATCCAATTTTTGTATACCTTATTATTCGCTGTTTGAAAACGTTTTTTTTGCGAGCATGTATCGGTATATATGGTATGTATCTATATACCGATTAACGATAGCCAAGGCTTTCGCTTTATTCAGCTGAGGACTACACCTTCGAGCTGTATCGCCATTTAACAAGCTGGTAAAAGGTTGATTGTTCGGAAATGATGCTAGTTATCTCATATATATCATCAATCTCCATCGATAATTTTAATGATATAGATATTTTGTCGTACTTGATATTAGGAGTTTTAGGATTACGTAATTGATAGGTTAAATTTACAGATTTTACATCATATGATTTATCTCTTTGTTACAATCAGTGGATATATCAGGGAGGTTAGGTTGTCCTCATAGGTAAACATAAACTCCCTTTTCATCCTAAGAGTGGAGATCTTTATTGCTCCAAATCACTGATGTAGATCTGTATACCTCTATAGTTACAATTCCACGTAGCATTCGTCAACAAGCCCTTTTATAGTCTACATTACTCACAGTACACCATAAAATAATATGATTAGTATAGATAGTGTTACGTTACATCAAGTAGCTGTCAAATATTGCAGTACGATTAGAAGTACGAATCACTCTCCATTCTTTACTTCGAGATATTTTTATGCTTACATTTTAAATGAATCGTTTTAGACTAGAAAGCTTGTAAGATTTATAATCGTGCAGATAGTATAATAGAAAGATTTCTAGTATTATTATCAAAATCAAAATAGCTATTGAAATATTGAATGCTAGCTTAATTTTTATACCGAAAGTTAAATCCATCTACTAAATGAGTTGACGTCGCAAGGTGAGCTTGATATCTATCAACAGTTCGATAAATCAATACTATCTAATTTTAGCGGCGATAAAAGCAATCGATATTGAAGCAAAGCTCGATCAAGTAGCAATAACATCCAGTTGAATGAGAATCATGCAACTTTTCCATAGCGACGACTATTCAGTATCATATTGAAATTATCGGGGAGTTTATCTTGACTGTCATGAATCTGCTGCCCCGGTCATTTTAAAACTGTCATTGCCTATTGGATCAAGTTAATTTAGTGGTAATAATCTGTAATGGCCGCGCAATAGTCTCCTGCTATTAATTATTGATACAGGTAATATTTTGATAGGGTAATCAGATTAATCATCGAATTAAGCAAGGACAGCTGATTTCACTTAGTTTGCGTCTATTCCATTTGATTGTAGTTTAGTAGCGTTAGACGAGCAGGAGATCGACTGTTTTGTCGATGGTTTAATTTCTAACTAGGAAAGCACTTCCTATATAAACAATTGGAGAAATAACAAATAAGTTAATCTATAATCCTTATTCATCCGATTCGGCAAGATGAGACGTACGGTGATTAAATTTATTTTATTATTAAAACTAGCCGCTGTGCTTGATTTCGATATTTTATTAATCTACTAGCGGAACTTATTTTTCTTAATGTCTCGATCAAGTGTACAATCTGAAACGATTAATGATCTAGCACTAGAAAATAGCCAAATCAATAGGGGTTGTTAACAATACGAAATAATAATAATCAGAAGAATGCCAATAATCACAAGTTTAATAGCTTGAATGATTGCCCTTGCAATATCGATCCAAATGATAAAGGTTCTGTAGATCTGTTTTACACATTTTGGAAATACGAATAAAGGATTTTTCACTTCTATAGTGTGTTCTCACAAATCTTAGTGTAATTTCCCACTATGGAAGTGTAAAATCGAACAAAAACTTGTAATCAAGTCCTGCACCTTACGTAGGGGATATAAGCTGCTCTTAGCACCCTTTACTAAAACAATGATAATATAAACAGTTACAATCCTCGCTTCCTTTCCTAGAGAAGATATCAGGATAGGATACTCGTTTATCTTTTGGTCAACCCTAAAGTAGACCCAAATAAATCTTTCAAGCACTTGTACATTATTTTAACTAGTCCAAAAAACCCGTCACGTTGTTGACGGTTTGGTATTAATTAAATCATTATCGTTAAATACGAATCACGCTTCGTGAGCTTATATGGAATAGGAAGATAACTTGAATGATAGAAGTGAAGTTTGTAAAAGCTGGTATTTCCAAATACTATGAACATGACATTTGTAATAACGTTAAGTAGAACCTTGCCATTATATTAATGTATTATTTGACTGGTTAAAAGAGATATTAGAGCCACAAAATTATAGTCCATAAATTTTATTCATTTAGTTACGATAAAAAGTCTCGATTTTAACAACAGTCGCACAGATTCTAA